CAACATGGGCAGAACAAAAGCAAGGGTTTTACCAGAACCAGTTTTTGCAATACCAATACAGTCTCGACCGCTCATGATTATCGGCAAAGCCTGAGCTTGAATGGGCATTGGCTTTTCATAATTTAACTTCTTAATAGTATCCAAAACCTTACTTGACAACCCAGTCTGATGCCATGTTTTGACTGGCTTCGGGATATCCTTTCCATGTATCTTCAATTCCAGTTGTTTACGGAATGAAGCCACCTCCTCAGACGTCATCCTGGAAATTTCTTTCGACTCAATATAAAAATTCTTCCGGAAAGTAGGATACTCAATTTTGGAATGGTCAACAATTGAAAGCTTCTCGACTTTGGTTTTCTTCACCCGTTTCATGAATTCTTCATCATCTTCATCCTCCAAAGGATCTTCGTCATTCTCAATATCTCCATAATCTGAATCAGAATCTTCTCCAGGAATAATTCTTCCAGTTGATAAGTTCTTCCCTTTTCTAGAGGGTTCCAAGCTCGGTTTAACCAAATCAGGAACCGCATCATTCGCAGCAGACACCATGCTACTGTTTAGCTTCTCAACTTCAGGTAACACCATAGAGTTCATGAATGCATCAAGCGGATCAATTTCATCGTCTCCATCAGCATGGTCACCACCATTTTGTACAGAAGGAACAGCCTCTTTCTCACGATCAATGGACATGTCATTTCCATTCTCACCAATGGGCTTCACTGCCACATCATCCTCATCCACATCCATTGCTGTTTTTCCCTGATCGCCAGATTCTTCATCATCAGATTCCCCTTCAAGGGTCCATGCCTTGCCGGACTCCGGTTCATGAGTTGTTGGCACCCCGAGTTTTTCTTTCTCAGATTCCTCTTTCTTCCTTCTTAACTCCTGCCACTCTTGAACTCTCCTCCTACGCTTTTCCATATCCTCGGCCAGTCTCCTCTGCTCTTCAGCGAAGTCCTCTTCTCGTGACTTTTCTTTATTGGTCTCCAAGTCACCATCACCCTTTTTTAGGGAACTCTCTTGAGCACCATCCTTATGCCGGCTCGTCTTGTTTCTATGTTCAATGTCCCTGTGCTGATGATCTTCCTCTCTCCTGCGCCTTTTTTTCTCATGCTCCCTGACATCTTCATCACTACTGTATGACCTAGCTCGACTCTTTTCCTTATCCCGCATTTTTTCCCTCTCTTTCCTTTCTCTCTCTTTTTCTCTATCCCTCTCCCTTCTCTCCCTTTCCCTCTCTCGCTCTTTTTCCCTCTCGTATCTGTCCCTCTCCCTCTCCTTCTCTCTTTCCCTCTCCTTCTCTCTTTCCCTCTCCTTCTCTCTTTCCCTCTCTTTCTCCCTCTCCCTTTCTTTCTCCCGCGCTCTATCCCTATCCTTTGCCCTTTCCTTCTCCTTGTCCCTGTCCCTTTCCTTCTCCCGATCCCTATCCTTATCCAACTCTCTATCTCCCCTCTCTTTTTCTTTACTTTTTGACTTGTCTCGAACCCTTTCATCATCACGGCTCCTGGTTTTTTCATGGTCTTGTTCCTTCTCACGTCGCTTACTCTTGTGCTTTCCTTTCTCCCGGTATTTGTCATCAACACTCTTCTCTCTCTCATGCCGGCCATCCCGGTCCCTGTCTCTATGCCTATCCCCATTCCTCTCCTTTTCCCTACTACGCTCCTTCTCAGAGCCATCCCTCCTAGATTTGCTTTTACTCTCTTCCATATTGGAATATCTCTACCTCCAACGAGGAACAGTTCACAGGACTTCAATCAAGAATTTCTGATCAAACATGAATGTAACGAATGGATTAACCAGCTACTTCATGTGTGAACCATCAGAAATGAGCGAAATTACAAATTAACGTGAAAAAACAAAAGACATACAGACGAAAGAACATGATTCAGTATATCGTCGAGTAAAATTTGGAAAACCCTAGCAATCTATAAAACTAACCTCCGTCTCCTTTCCTTGGTTGTGCTAGCACTGAAGCACCAAGGTGTAATCCGGGTTGAGCAGGCGTCTATGGCAGAGCTAATCGCACGAATTAAAAAAAAAAAAAAGTACGCGGT